CTGCTCTTCAAGCAGAGTTGTGCGTTGTGTGAATAAAGGCAGAATAAAATGCGAAAGCAGCGACTTCAATGTTTGGTAAGCTCCCTGGGTGCTTTGCCATGCAGGGTCTGTAACAAACAGTGCTGCAGGGCAATTCTACCCGTGGACAGGAAGTTACTGAGAGTGGCTGTTCAGCAAGGAATGCCACATGTGGATTTCCTTAATGAAATGCTCATTCAACCCCACTTACTCCATAAAAACCGTCTATTTTTCCCCTTGAACGCCCTTCAAAATGCATCCCTTTCATTTCACTTGCTCAGGATGGGAAGGGTGAAGAGGAGACAGCTAGGTTCTTGAGGGAACAAGAACATAAGCAGCAGATTAGCAGCAAATGCTCCCCAGGCTCTTGCTCCAATGTATGCCAGCAGTGTGAGTCCAGGCAGCCTAAGAACAGCAACAAGAACAAGGAAGGACCCTGGCTTCTTTGCTTAGCTTATGTGCAGAAGAGGCTGAAATACAATTACTCCAGCTGTTCAGCAGGGCATCACTTGCCTAGTAAATAAGACTGATAGATAAAGGCTGAGGAAGAGGGAAAGCTCCAGATGCAGCTTCCCTCTCTCCCCACCCTCCAGGAACGTGGTAATGGAGATGGGTAGATTCACTGTCCCCGTTGTGTGTAGCTGCAGGTATTGGGCCAGCAGCTTTGAAGGTGAGTGTTCTCCATCCTTGAGGCTGTCTGCAGGACATGTGAAGGTGATAAAGGGGATGCTGAGTCTAACAGTGATGGCGAGTGTTAGCCTGCTGAGATGGCAGTAGTAAAGTGCAGTTGATGCTGTGCTGCAAAAGGGGTAGCAGCTTGTCCTTGCTGTTGCCGAGTGTGACTGAGGGAGTGTCAATGCGGTATCTGTCACTCACCACCCTGTCTGTGAAGGAGCATTCCTTGTTGCCATTGTAGCAGTGGGATCTCGGGCTCAGAAAGATGAATGACCAGACCTGTGAATCAAATACAGATTACTCAGTCCTCTCCAAAAGACCATTTCTCTCTCCTTTCCTGAATTTTAATGATATTAGCAACCTCTAAGCACCAAGAGTCTCATAAACTTTCCAGATTATGGTAATAATAACATTGTACACTACACTGCACTGGGAATAAAGTTATTTTATCCACTCCAATTTCTTTTTGTTTTAATGTATTAATATGTCAAGTGAAAGCATTGTAGGAAATCTCAGTGCAGAGGCCAAATGCATTGCAAGCCAGCCCTTTCTTCTAATGCTGCCTGATGGTTTTTTTCCCCTCCCCCTTGTAAAACATCTGGCACTCCGTATTTGGCTGGTCTAGTTTCTCTGGAGGACCTAGTATTGGGAGCCCTCCCTAAATCGGTCTCTTACCTGGAAGTGGAATGGAAGTGATGATACTCCTGTCCCTCAAAATGCTGGGGAAAAAAGGGTGGGGAACAATCTCTCCTTCCCCCATATTAGTCATTAGAGATCTTCCTTGACAGCCTGAGGAGAGGGATTCTGCCCCAGCAGGACTCACCAGAGCAGGATGTATCTGTGCAAGGGTTGTTCTTGTGGAGCACTGCCTCATTTATGAGATTACTGCCTCATTTATAGCACCTGGCCTCATGCTCCAGCCTTTCTTTGCCCACCTAAGGATCTTCTGTGAAAGTGTTTACTCTGACAGGCATGGTCCTGCCATCCTGTTGTGCTGGCAATGTGCAAAGTGTCTGTGCGCTGAAATCCTCCAGGAGACCTGGGATGATGTCAAACAATAATGTATTCTTTCTGTTCAAGCACATTAAAAGTGCAATTAATTCTCACAATCTCTCAGCCCATCTGTAATGCAGCATGAGGTGACTTTCCCAGCCGCTGTGTGCTGTGGCAGGCTGAGCTTGGACCAGAGACCTTCCCAGGTGTCATCTTGTGATTTAATGCAATTCTGTTAAGAGCTGGGTTGGTTCATTCGTTGCTCAGCCCCCACTATTTTACTAATGTCAGACTGTAACCAGAGGCAGAGTTTCTTAGACTCCTAAGCCAGTTACATGAGTGCTTTTCGTTCCAAGACAACTCCAGGCTCCTTTTTGAGGGATCTGGGTTCATATGGGGTTTAAGACACGGCAAAATGGTTGTTATTCTGCTGGGACCTGTGCTGTCATTGCAAGAGAGATGTTACAGCTCAAGCAGTGGAGATTCACTTAAAGTGGTGTCCTTTTCCAGTGAATGTATCTGAAAGGTATATCGGTAGTGGTAATACAGGCAAGACCTTTGAACAAAGCTAGGTGTGTACACCCTTGCTTGTAAGCTTCATTGCAGCTCAGTGGATCCAAGGGGAATCTACGAGTAGAGGACAAAATTATGACACAGGGCTTACCCCTACGGTCATTGTTTTCCCATGTGTGTGCTTTGTATTGCCGAATAAGAAGTAGTTTATATAATATTTCTATCAAACTCAGAGAGACACCAGCAATTTACCACAAGGTATTTGGGTACCAGAAAAATTGCATAAAACCCCTCTAATCCTGTACCATTGTGCCTAATGAATCTGCTGTGGAAATTACCCAGGTGACAGGAAAGGGTTGCACAAGACTGGTGAAATTGTGGAAGTGAGATGGCCAAAGTGAAAAGAACGTTAGTTGAAAGACTTACTGCGTGGGATACAGCAGAGCATCTGAAGGAAACATTTAACTGGGAGCTACAGCTGCAGATAAATATTGTGATTCTCTGTGGGGTGGCTGCAAATTAGTTTTTGCAGCAAGGTCATGTTTGAAAAGGGAGAATAGAGCCACCATCCGGCAAATGCAGCTCAGATTATGAGGAGAGGTTAGGAGAGCTTTGCTGCTGCAAGGTGCCAAGATCACATTGAAACGCAGGCAACACAGGTTGAGGATGGGCGGAAATATTGTACAGGATGGGAAGGGACAGGATTTCTCTTTTAATCATAGAGGAGGGATTCTTCAGCGTCACAGCCCAGGTCTTGGCACTGTGAGCAATGCTCTGCAGTGCACGTGGGGTTAAAGGTGTGATGGCAGGTCTACAGAGGGCTGAGCCAAGGGCTGAGGAGACTGTCATTTGGATTAAGGTATGTTGGCAAAGGTTATATACACCTTTGAATTACTCCTCTGCCACTGTTCACTTGGCAAGCATTCATGATGTCTGCTCCTGATAAGTCACTATTTTACTTAGTGTACTTACATACCTGTATGTATATCCATACATGTACGTGCATAAACACACAGATGTGTACAAGCACATATATAGGCTTCTACTTTCTCCTTCTGCAGTCTAGGCAAGGGAAGGTCACTCATCTACTCAGTTGTATTAAGTGAAGCTTTGACAGTCGCTTTCAGCATTCCATGATGCTCAAGCAGTAGCAGGCATGTTCCCAGGAGCCCTGCAGAAGGGGAAGATGAGAGAAGCTGAGGGATTTGTCTGTGTTTGTGCCATCATATTATCCAAATCCACATGTTGCTTCTTCTCGTCAACACTTCGGACAGCAATAATGATCTAGGCAAAGTGCCACCACTCTGGAAAGACAGAAGAGATACAAAAAGAGGGAGCAGCTTGCTGCATGTGCCATAATGCTCCCTGAGTGCTGTGTGGCCATGGCAGGCTGTGTAGCCCCAGCAGCAAGAACAGCTTGCTGCTCGCTAGCCCTGTGTCCGCTCTTCTTGGTCAGTGCACTGTGGTGAAACCAGTTCATAAAGGCTGACCTCAGAAGGCAGATCTTTTCCACTGCCTAAGCCCAGCCTGCCCTAGGTCTGTGCTGCTGGTTGATTTATGCTAGTTAAACCATCATAAATCTGATAAATCTGAGCACTTTCCTTGCACAAGTGGTTGTGTTTAGAGCATTTTGGTCATGCTAAAGAAAGAAGTAAAACAAACAAACAAAAGTAGTCTTTGAAGCTCAGCTAATCTTGAGGAAGAAGTGAGTGTTCAGCTCTAACATGTTGTGCAAAATCTGTACTTGTTTCAGAAGGCTGATTGCTTTAAACCCTTTGATCATGTCCTCAGTGGTTTGTTTGTTCGTGGCGTATTTCACTGATGGGAGCTAAAGCTGCAACTCCAGAGTCACCTGGAAGCATAGTAGTGAGCCAGGGAAGGATCCCAGGGGGACTCTCGCTGAGGAGCCAGTTCCTAGACATGTTTGTGAGTTTCTCTGTTCCTTGAAGTGAGACTGGAGTTTTCCCCTCAAACAAGTATGGGTGTCCTGTAGGGCTGTGCAGTCACCTGCAATACCTGTCAGCTGCTTCAGTGATCACACAAACGCTTTTGGAGACAAGGGCTGTTTGCACAGGATTCTGGAACAGAATTTTCTTTCTGTATATTTTCCACTTCACTCCTTTTCCTGGCCAGACTGGCAGTAACTGGTCTCCACTTGAAGCCCTAGCTGAAGAGATCCCTAGAGTTTATGGGTCCTGTGATCCCACAGAAAATGATCCCTCTGGCACAGGGCTTAGATTTCAGTGTCGTTTGGGAAAGATTTGTTTTTCCTACAGAGTGTGCTATGCCTGTTCTAGGGATGTTGCTAAAAGCTCTACAGAGCTTCACGACCCTTTCTGACTCTGCTTGGTAGTTATCCCAGCCCCCTGCAAAGTAAATCATAGTAATCTGGCCTCTTTTAGACAGTTGTAGAGCAGTTGTGATTTCACCAGTTCCCTGCTTTAACTGCTCGCACATGCTCCTCTCTGGAAGAGGTGAGAGCAGGGAATTCTTGGTTCTCAGCCTGCATAAGACAGTCCCCCGCCAAAGCTCCATGTTGGGCTTTTCAGAGCCTAAAGCTGCTCATCCCAACAGGACCAAAGGTTTTGAAATAGCAGTTGATAGCAGCTGCCCAGGAGATGGGGAAAATCGCTGTTTTCTGTCTCCTGAGACCTTTGTGTCTCATACCCAGCACTGTCTGGCTCTTCCCCTCTGTGTCTCAAGAGGTGGCACTTCCATCCTGCCGCTGGAGCAGCTACCATGGGCACAGGGGGCTGGGGTGCTGCTCGCTTCCCTCTTTACCTCTTCTTTCCTCTCTGCAGCTCCTGCTCAGGCCCAAATCATCCATGCTGGGCAGGCGTGTGTGGTGAAGGAAGACAACATTAGTGAACGTGTATACACAATTCGGGAGGGGGACACACTGGTCCTGCAGTGTCTGGTCACAGGACACCCCCGGCCACAGGTAAGCTGTCCGTCTTGCCTGGCACCTCCCTGCCCACGGCAACTCTCTGTAGTCTCCACATAGAGGGGAACTGTGGGCAGCAGGGTGCCTAGCTTTCTCCTGCATGTTAGAGTCAAGTAGGGATGCCTTGTAGTACAAGCACTGGCCTGTAAGCTGTTAAGCATCTAGTCTTGCTTTTACGGAAAACAGTCCACAGAGCTTTGCAGAAGCATACACATCGTTTCTAGTCGTCATCAGTATGTGAAGACCCCCAGGAAACTGAAAGCTCAAACTGAATCCGTTATACAAACCACCATCAAATCTTTAACCCTCTTACTGCAAAGTAAGAACAGCTTGAACAGGTTAGAGAAGGCTTCCCGGATGTGTTGGTCGTAGGAGTTGTTCCTTTATGATCCTGCAGTCTCTCAGTTTCTCTGTATGTACAGTCAAGGGAAACCTGCTTGTGGAGTTCGGGAAGTTGTTCATACTGATCCCCATGCAGACCCTGCTGGTCATTGCTTAATGGCCACTGACCAGAGGCAGATTCAGACTTGCAGTGCTGGATATGTCCATGCTGTGGTCAAAGCCACAGGTGAGGGCAGAGCTGAGCTTGAGTAACTGCTGCAGTTCTTCCCCAGGGTCCCTAGAGGGATGCATAAGCCTCAAGCCCCATTCAGGCACCTCTCCACCCTTCAGATGCTCAAGCAGGCAGGTTCAGTAATAGTGTGGATGTATCTATAAAGATACTGAACCAGAGCATGGGTCTGCCTGCTCTGGGACAGAGTGTGGTAGGAATGGCAGCTAGTGTGTACTACGAGGCTGGATGTGACAGAACAAGCCCAAGGGAGCCAGGTACAGTATGTATGTTTTCTTGTCCTCCTTCCCAAATCCTGCCACAGATATCTGTGCTGAGAAGCCATGTATCTTCATACAGCAGTCAATGCCACTGTGGACTTGCTTTTGGGCAGCTACTTGGCTAAGAGGGAATGACAAAAGAGAGGGAGAGAGACTCAGCCAGCAGAATTTGAAATGGTTTATCCATCAAAGCATATCCTGGAAACAGTAAAAAGGAAATAATCTAAGACAGCCTAGGCTTGTGACAGTGATGGGCAGATAATAGCTGCGTATGTCAGAAACTAAGATGATGGTCTAGCCCTGCCTAAGGATGTTGAATGTGTGTGAAGCTGGTAGCAGGTTGCAGGGGCCTGAGTAGCCAGAGAGGTTGCTGGAGCAGAGCCTGATGCAGACAGCATGCTAGTGGGCAACATTGTGGTTTGCCTTTGCCTGGACATGCACAGGGGACACCAGACCCACAAGGCATGACCCACACACATAAAACTTGGCATGTGTCCTATGTCTGCCCTCCTCCTCATGGATAGATTTCTTCCCCAGGTAAGCTTGTATTTTAACCCTTGTTTCATCTTTTATTTTCCCTTCCATCAGCCAGTCATTAAAAAATGAAAATGTGGCCAAAATACTTAAATGAGATTAAAATTGAAAAGATTAAAGAGCTGGCTGAAGTGTCCTTGCAAACAGGAGTCTCTGAGAGTCTTGGGGCCCTTGGACAATTTAATAATAAGTCTACAAATGCTAAATAAATCCATAGTCATTAGTTCCAAAAATCTGCTCAACCTAGTGCTCTGGGGATGGGATGCGCACGCCCCTGCGTTTTTAGAGCATCAGAACCAATCAGGTGGTGGCAGTGAGTTTCAAGGAAAATCTGGCAGAGTGGTCAAGGTTTCTGGTCCATTTATCTGAGGTCAATGTTGAATGAAAGTCTCCTTTCTGTTTGCTGATCTTGCCAGATCTCAGTCCCAAAGTCTGGATGGGCACCAGTGTGGGAAACCACCAGTCACCAGCCTTTAGAAAGTAGGCTGCAGATACAGAAAACCAGTGGTCTGAGGAAAGCTATCTTTCTCTTTCATTGTCTTCACTCTCTCTTTCATTGTCTGAGCTACAGAAAACAAGGGGGAAGCTTCTACTGCCGCTGTTAGGGCTGTACCTCATTGCAGATATAAGAATAACCATTCAGTCTTTAGGAGTTCTGTCCTCTTATTACCATTCACCATGAATTATCATGCAGATCAGCTACCCTTGCAAGCCAAGATCTTAAGGCATGTAAGATAAGGACAAAAAATGCAAGACCGCTTGGAATCTGAAGGGATTTTTCCTTTTATTTTTCTATATCTTTAAAATCAAGGTAAAAGCTTGTGCACTGCAACAGGATGGCTTATAAAAATAACACACACAGGGGCTCCCTGTGGGAAAGGGGCAAGAGCCAGATAGCAGCTGCATTTTCTCACTCTTTCTTGGAAAAGCATAAAGCAGAAATAGCCTTGCTGTCCAGAGAAAGGTGAGTGTTTACTGCAATAAAAGCTCTGTAGCTGTAAGCTCATGTTTGCTTTAGCTTTGTGGCCTACCAGCAGCATGGGGTCCCAAAGCTTAAAGTTCAGAATCCTGTGTTGTGCAGATAGTGGTGTAAAATTAAACAGGCTTTTGGGTTTACAGGACCAGGGCAAAAGTGGTAAATATGCAGTGTGTGTTTGAGTGAACCGAGGGGTTATCCTGGACTCTGAGATGTGGGGATTAGTGATGGATGAGAATCAGCAGCTGGCCTACCAAGACATACTGAGATCAGTTGAACTTTAGTAAGGTCTGGTAGTGCTGTAGGGCCAGTTTTTGAGAACTGCTAGGGAGGAGGGGAAGAGGAGTAAAGGGAGTGCTGCTGTCACTTGGGATCTCTAGTTTATGTCACTGATGGTTTGCATTCCTCTCATTCTTCTCATGCAGGTGAGATGGACCAAAACTGCCGGCAGCGCGTCGGACAAATTCCAAGAGACATCAGTGCTTAACGAGACCCTTCGGATTGAGAAGATCCAAAGGCTGCAGGGGGGCCGCTATTACTGTAAAGCAGAAAATGGGGTTGGGGTCCCTGCCATCAAGTCCATTCGAGTAGATGTGCAGTGTAAGTCGTTTAGCGGCAACCCAGACCTTCCCACAGTTCTACTGCATGTCTCTGCCTTGCTGCGGGGCCAGCAAGGACCTGCATTGCCCTAGGACTACATGCACCTGGTTCAGGAGCAAAGGGAATGGTGCAGTGCCCCCAGGGGACATGTTCCCTAGAAGATTAGATCTATCCACAAAACACATAGCTCTTCCTGTCCACATGAGTCATTCCTACCCAGAAGCCATGATGTCAGTAACAGCCAGTGGTCCCTGGAGCTTGTCTGGCATGTAGCATTGTAGGCACTTTCTGCTTGCTTTGTTTTTAAGCTTGCAATGCTTGAAGCAAAACAATGCTTCTTGAAATTGGTAATGCTTCAGGTACCTGGGACATTTCTGAAACCAGTGCCCTGCTCCCAGAATTGCTACTTCTGTAGCATTTTGGAAACAGTAAAAGACTCCTGGACTCACCTGAGGAGGCTGAGCTGTGAAGGGATGAACGTGAAGGAATCTGTGAGGATCCCTTTGCTTCAGTGACTCAGCATTTCTTGGGCTGGTTGCAGTGGCCATTCTTCTTGTGTCCTGGAGATGCTGTTAGTAGTTCTCCATCTTGGGACCCATGTTTGAGAGTTTCTCATGCTGGTTTATTTTTGGGCTGTTGTGACCAAAAGGAAAGGAAATTAACCTTATCCATAATCCCAATACGCGAGGAATCCAAGATTTAAGGTCTAGGCAACTTTAAAAGAGGTTTACTCTCTTGGGGAAAATTACCAATGAGTTTATCATCCTTGGTTATCAACTATTCCAGTTTTTTCCAACCCAAGTAACACCAAATCCCTCTCCTCACTCACATCTTCTGAGAAGCCCTAGTCAGTAAGAGGTTGGTGCTAAAAAGATGTGAAGTGTGATAAAGCAGCTGGAACTCGGACACCCACCTACACTTGCTTGGAGTCTCTGCCTATTTCTTCTATGTGTGGTGGAAGCGTATGGTAACTGTCCATTGCAAAGGGGACTTGTCTTTCTCAAGCCTCACTATGACACCTTGCCAGGGCCTGCATCCCTAGGAACAGGACTGTGGCATGAATCTCTTTATGCCCTGAGGGGACTCCCTTTACTTCTGGGGTGCAGGCTGGAGCTAGAGTAATGTAGTGTCCTGTGGTCCCTCATGCAGCTCTGACCTGTAGAACTATGGGGCTAATGGGATAGCCAAGGGCTTTCTCATACTAACATCTACTCTGCAGATGGACTTGGTAACGCACCTCTGTTCTGCTTACTCTTGGTTTTGTGGAGGAGAGACTATTTTCTGCTAGCATTTGCAGTATATACAAGGGAACACATAGGAAAAGCCACACTTTTTGTTGAACGCTCACCCAGGCAACCTTCAGCGAATGAACCAGAATTTGAAAACAAAACATCCCTACATCCCAATTTGTAGTTAGAGGTAAGTAATCCCAATTTCCCTACATCCCAATTTGTAGTTAGAGGTAAGTAATCACCCTCATGTGAACCTCGTTGTCCTTGACAGCTAGTGCTAGTCCTCACTCATACTTTTAGTATTAGACAAGCAAGGTTGTGCAGAGAGCACCATTGGTGCCAAGAGGGTATTAAACTGGAAACACTAACCTGTGTAACAAGTTATTCCTTTGCCCCAAGTGGGCATCAAATGAGGTTTTAAAGTACTGGTTTGATACTGGCAGAGAGCAGCTGTTGTTTGGATTATTTCCATGTGGGAGAGAGAGAAAGTAAAGAAAAAGAAAGAATGGATGTTTGCAAGCTTATATTGCACATGAAACATCCCATATGACCATCTCTATGAGCAGCCGTGGGCCAAATATATCATTTGTGCAGCTCACTGACATCAGTGCCGTTATTTGTACATCAAGGACATACATATCGTTGTAGGTCTTATTTTAGCTTTTCTCAGGAGGGCTAGACATGAAGCTGACTGCTAGGAAAAAGCCTGAAAGATTCAAGGGAAGAAAGGTTTAGCAACCAAAAGGAAGATAGTGTTTTCTGTGTGGGGAGTAGCTGGGAGCTGGGAGACCTGAATGGTGAGGATCTTCTTTGATCAGTAAGGAAAGTGTTTTACCATGCATCCTGGTGAGAAATGGAGCCTCAGAAGGATGGTAGCTACCGAGTTATTCTTATGAAGCATGAACAAATAAAGGAGGGCTAAGGACAAAGAAGGAGGAAAGAGGAGAGGCTGTGCTCATGGTCCTGGTCCAAAAGAATTAGGTATAAAATTCAGTCACCCTAGACACATGAAAAGGGCACTGCATGGATAGGAGCTGTGTGGGGGGGGTTTCTACCCATATATGTTTTTCTTCAGACTTGGGTTCTGTTTTGTTCTGGGGCTTTGGGGTTTTTTTTGGTGGCTTGTCCTTGTTCTGCTAATGGCTCTATTCGTATCTCTGAGCTATGGTGTGGTCAAGGAAGTCCAATTACAATTGCTGTCTACCAAGCACAGAGCTCATTAAAATATGCAAATCCACAAGTTGATGCCTGTGGTTCAGAAGGCAACATATGCCATTTGGATAACAAGTTAGAAGAAACTCAGCCCTGCTTCCCTCTTCCTTTCTGGGAGTCAGATCTCCAAACTTACAAATCTCTGAAATAAAATATAGAGAAAATTAGGTGGCATAGGAGAGCAGCAGGTGATGAGCAGATGTCCTCTTCCTCTCTGCTAACATGTGCAGAAGACAGCACTGGCAGTAGTAGAGGATACTGGGTGCATGTGCCTCAGTTTCCTTGCAGTTGAAGATGGGGTCATAAAGCTCCTGAAAGTGTAGAACTGTTTCAGCTGAGCTCAACAGATGGCTTTTAAGACATGTCACAGGGACAGATTTTAGTTTAGAGGGCAGTTGGTCCCCTCTTGTTAAATGGGCTCTTTACACCTAACCCCAATCTCTGAGAGGAGAAAGAATTGAGGTTTTCCCTATGCTTCCTTGATGTTCAAATGCTGATGTCTGGTGCAAAACCCAAGAAAATGGTCCGTTTTTAGCAGGAGGGCAACCCTGGGGAGCAGTGTGTTCTGAGTGGATGGAGAAAGTATGCTCCCTACAGGGCTATTGTTTGTGTCCTTGCAAATGAAGTGACTGATAGCCATTGATTTGTGACGGCTATATGTCCAGTGCAGATATGGTGAGGGAATTGGAAGGAGCATTTTCTGTAAACGGAGAAAGCAAAAGAATCTGATCAGTTCAGGGGTGGGTGATAGATAGGGATGTGGTGAATAGAAGTTACTGGAGAGGGAGAGTCAGTACAGATCCTGAAAAGAAGAAAATGCACAGAGGATATTTTAATAGGGAGAGAAATTGTGTATACCTGTCACAGTGTTTTACATCTCGTGTTCCCATGGCTCCCCACGAGACTTGCTCCTGACTAGGAGAAAACTCTTCACCTCAGCTCCTTGATCTTGTCCTGCTTTTTACTTTCACCCCTTGAGCTGAAGGTTTGTCCTGTCATTTGTGTGGGCATCTCACAGCCATGGGCTTAGCTTCATGATTTCAGCATAAATTTGGGAAGTGGAAAGTGGAAGCAGAAGAAATTATGATGGAGCAGTTTCCTGGGAACTTTCTGACCTGTCACTGAAGTAGAGAGCAGTGATTTTGAGTGGGGAGTGCCACTGGGGAAGGTGAGGCAGCCCACTGCTCTGAGAAGCACGTGGCAAGTAGGTGATTTGCTTAAGGACTACATGGGGATCTGCGTACCAGAGGGTGCTTTCTATTCTCTGGAGGTTGTGTGGTGAGGGAGAATTCTGGCTTCTCATGTGTGTTCCCTTTAGATATTGTTTGTGTTACCTGCCCTCAAATAAGCTCTTAATTCAGCAGCTGTCATCAGCCAAATGTGCAGGAGCTTCCCCTCCCCTCTGTGGTGCCTAGAGCATCATCTGCTCTGCAGGCTGTTTGTGCAGACCAAGCTTCATTAACAACTGCTGCGGCCCTCCTTACCTTCCTTCCAGATCTAGATGAACCTGTTCTCACCATTCACCAGACCATCAGTGATGTTCGTGGCAGCTTCTACCAGGAGAAGACTGTCTTCCTCCGCTGCACTGTCAACTCCAACCCACCAGCTCGTTTCATCTGGAAACGGGGAGCTGAGACGCTTTCCCACAGTCAGGACAATGGTGTGGACATCTATGAACCCCTCTACACACAGGTGAAAAAAAAGCAAACTTCCACCAGCTTGTGTTGAGTGTCCTGGTAACCCAGCACACTGCAGTAGAGGGTGTTTCCTTCCCTGGGTGGATTACAATGTTGGGTAGAGGGTGATGGCTGCTGCAAGGAGCACTGTCTCCAAAAGAGCTGGTAAAGCCTTCTTCTGTCTGTGGGCGCCCAGGGTACAAGAGGAGTAGAGCAGCAGAAGGGCGTGTGACAGCCTTGAAGTGCTTTTCCTTTTCTGGCTCTGTCCCTGAGTGCAGGCCACAGCTCCCCTAATGAGGTGACGTAGCTGTTGGGTGGCAGAGACTGAAATCCAAGCAAACAATCCCAAGATCAGGTCTCCTCTGTCTCCCATTACTATTTTCTTTAATTAATTGAGTGCCGGAGCTTCATACATCAGGGGAAGTGCTTCCTGTTCAGCAGTGCAGCAAATGGCAGGCATTGCCATGGGATCCATGAAACAAATGATGAAGAGCTTTTCCTTATGCCCACAAGTAACAGGGAGTAAATGGGCAGCCAAATGGAAACAATCAGAGGGGTGAGGAGAGAGGAGAGAGCTGCAGGTTAGTGGCAGATCTGCAACTAAAATGCTTGTAGGTGAGTGCTGCTGTTTGGCCCCAGAGAGAGTTTTGTCTAGTCTAGGGTTACACAGCATCCAGCTAGGACATGCCTGGCCTTAGAGGAAGCCACAGTGGGCTCTTCCAGCTTTCACTAACTCAGCGTAGTTAACAGGAGACATTGCTTACTGAAAGGATGTCTTAGGACTTGAGGTATTTTATTCACCTAAATAAGGTGTCTGGCAGGAATTTACCATGTTGCAACATTAATGCGTAAATGACCCAGTACCCCGCAGCTCCTGTCGGGACCCATCCTAATGTCGTTCCTAATTCCTAGTCGTTCCTAGTTCTGAGAGAGTTAGGACTCCTGTGCTCAAACAGGCATGCCCTATGGTCCTCTCCTTAGCACCAGCATAAATCTATAAGTTTGGGTTGGTAAGAGTTGAAGTTAACAGAAACACACCTCTGCAACACTATTGGGAGGGGAAAATGTTGCTGGAGCTCAAATGCACTATGTTTAATAAATCACACTTTGAAGGGGGCTGTACTATTGTGTTAGGGATGAACTGGTATCAGTGTCAGGTTTGGGTAGGCTTTTACATTAAAAAGGAGGTGAAGACTTTACTGTTTAATCTTTCTAAAACTTACCTACACTAAAGATTTATGCACATTTACCCAACAATTACTAGTCAACAAACAGAGCCCTGTAAGTGAGTTGATATACACATTGTAAATGCCATCATTTGTGTGGCATAGCAACAAATCTCAGGGGACAGGACTTTCATAGGGTTATTGGTCTCCTAGGTATGTATCTTTCTCATTTACTCAGTTCTCATCATTGTTCTCTGCATATTAGCATGTCTGAGCTCATTGTCCAGTCCCTTGAGGTTGTCCTCAAGAGGATTTGTAGTGCTGAGACCTTCACACATTTGCAGGCAATTATGGAATGATTTCAGAAGAGATTCAGACAAACACAAGGAGAACAACAGCGACAAGCTGTCATGGGAAGACGTATGAGTTGCAGGGTGTGCAAACCACAGGATGAATCTTAGGGCTTTCCAGATTTCATAAATAAACAGAACACATCTACTGTTAATTTAACAACTTAATTCTGTTTCTGTAACAAGCCAGTAACTAATGGAGTTCCAGGTAGTGAGTTTGTTTGTTGTTTTTTTTATCTTGGTATGAGAAACGGCTGCCATAATCCATGTAGCTACTCTGAATTTACACCAGCACAAATGAGAATCTGTAGAAGAGAGATCAGAAAGTTCTGGGGAGTTCTTCGAGTAGTTCTCTGATTTACCTTTTTCCCCTTGTACTGCAGTTTTTCACAGCGCAACTGTTAAACTTGTCATATTTAGGCCAGCATTAATGCCTGAATCCACTCTGGTTTACTTCTGGTTTGCAACGTTGAGCCCCCAGTAACATCCCCTGGGTTCCTATCAGCATCTTGGTGTGAGATCTCAAGGTCTGTTCAGGGATCTGTAAGTTTTTACAAATTCTCAAAGGTGATTCTGACTGCATTTGACAAGAAGTTATGCCTAGACCTGTTCAGCAGTGCTTTCAGGTTAAATGTCAGTCAGTTGCTGGCAGTTTTGAGAAATCCTGGAAGTGGATTTATCACCACAAATATTTTGTGTCTCCTTTCTATATAGGTAGGGGACCTTGAAGTCTGCACAATTCCCTGAGGTTTTGATGGGTGCTGCTGGCAATCTGTAAACTTTTGTACAGGTTATGGACTTGCGGTGATGAGATGTGCTTTGCACACCTGTGTCTTTTCCCCTCCACTTTTTTCCCCAACTTCCAGGGTGAAACCAAAGTCCTGAAGCTGAAGAACCTGCGGCCCCAGGATTATGCCAGCTACACATGCCAGGTGTCCGTCCGCAACGTCTGCAGCATCCCTGATAAATCCATCACCTTCCAGCTCACAAATACCACAGGTAAGAGGGGACTCGGAGGTCCCTGCATCCCTCTGGCCCCCTGCCTGCTCAACAGCCATTAACCCTCCAGGAGGGTAACACAGCACCCTGTCCAGGGCCTGCAGCACCTCACATTCATATGCATGGCTGCTAGGATTAAAAATCCTTCACGTAGAAGTCTTATGGCCAGGGATGCTCCAATTTCTTGTAGCTATGCGTACACCCAGTGCCTTGTCTAGGCCTGCCATGAGATCATTAAAGCAGTTGAGCCATTATGTAGTTTTTAATTCAGACTCTGGTTTATTTATTTATAATTCTAAGTGACTTTAAAAATGGATTTGAGTAAGTTCGGAGTGGGGCAGATGCTGCAGGAGTTTTTACAAATCATTCATTCATGTGTGACTCTGGCCTAGTTTGCTAGGCTGTGCTCTCAGCATCTCTCAGCTAACAGGCTCCATTGGTACTGATGTCTGTGGAAAGCAAATATCTCCAGCGCCTTCCCAATAAATAAATTTTACACTGATATTCATATTGGCAGTGCTTGAGTGTGCTTCCAGTTGCAAACAGAATTACTTTGGTGCCTCTTGCTTGACCTGCAATAACTGACTGATAACCAAGTATAGCACCAAATACTTGCAAGGACCTGATTGCAACCTGTCCATTGAAAACAAATCAAAACAAAAGCACACTGACAAAGCCCCCACGTGTTGAATATTTGCAAACAATAAGTAAATGTTTGGAAATTACTTCCAGCCCTGGGGTCTTCCATGATCAGAAGGAAAAGCATTGTAGTTATTTGAATTATTCACCTCTCTAATGTAACACAGTAGTTTGCATCCCTTGTGTCATCTTTGTGCAGTGGTAGCAGAACTTTTTTGATGTTGCCAGCTGTTGATGGGATATTGTTGATACTGTAAATTACATTTATTCATCTGACTTGGCCCCAAGGTGCATTATTTCATGTAGAAATAAGAAAAAAAAAAGAGCTTAAAAAAGTGAAAAAAAAAAAATTCTTTATGTAGTAAGATCTCTGAACATGTCTCAAGCAACTCACACAACTGCCTGAATTTCTCTCAGGATGAGATTGTAGCAGATGCTGGAATATTCCCTTTAAAAACTTATCTTGTGCTAATGATGAAGCTCTTCTTCCCTGTTGTGTCCTTACCTTTGAAGAGTAAGAAAATCAAATTTCTCTGTATGTCCACTCCCCCCTGCCAGTCCAAGCACAGGAAATCTACCCTTCATTTCAGTCCAGCCCCTTAGCATATGGGAAAAAAAGTATTTTCAGATTGTAGCCAGGTCAGGACACAGTGATATAGCTGAGCTTACAGCAGTTTTTTAAGTTCTTAACTAATCTCTGAACTTGGATCACATAGCACATAAATCTAGTTCTTTTTTCTTGTTGTTTAGTTATATATGCATATTTATACATAGTTACAGTGGAGCCTCACACTACAAGCTCAAAGGGGCCATGGCAAATGTGTTCCCAGGAAATTGTATTAAAAGCTGGCAGTGAAAATGAAGCTGGCATTGTGGTGTGAGCAAGGTTTGTGTTCAGTAACAGAAGTATATTTAACATGAAATATTATCTGGCTTACTTGCCCTGTAGGTAGTATTGTGCATAGATGAGAAAATATTTAAAGAAAAATCTTTAATTTTCTCATTTTATGCATGGTTCTTTTCTTTCCTTCTTGCACTTGTGCTTTAGCAATCTCTGTAGCCTTGGCTGTGCCCAGAATTCTGAGCAGCTTTGCTCAGGTTGCCTTCACCTTTGCAGCTAAGGAAGGCTCAAAATGCACAGAGGTGCATGGAAATCGATCTCTTAAATATTTATAGACCCAAGTACTACAGACCTTGAGGGTCAGGTCATGTTAGGCCAAGGGAATCCTCTCTTCCAAGTTCATTTGCTGTTCCTCAGCTGGCTTGCTTCTTCAATTCTGGCAATGGCCTTTGGGCAGATCATAGTTTCCCGCAAGGGATATGCTTTTCCCAAGCTCTTGTGTCAGTGAAGCCTGGGAGAAGCAGCAGGGAATGGGTTCTTGGTCTACAGCCTTAATGGGAAGGTGGTTTTATCTGCTCCTCTGTCCTGTGGATGTTGTGTGGCTCTAGAGCAGCAGGTTGTGTCCGCAGAGCCACGGGACCAGCTCAACCCTGGGCTGTCATCACCTGTTCCAGCGTGGTCAGGCTGATGTTTCCCCTTTCCTCAATTTCTGCAAAATTAAGCAGCCCAGCTGGTTAATTCTCCTGAAGCTTTACTGCAGCAAATTGGACTTCAAAGGGAATTGAAAGCGACTCTTTGTTTTTAATGGTCCCCTTGCTTCTCAGCTACTCCGCCAGCAGGTTTTCTGAGCCAAGAACAAAAGGAATTGCCACAGGTTACAAATAAATGAGATTCAACTCCTGCATAACAATGTCTGCAAACTGTTAACCTCTGTCTGCTGGCAGGAGTGAGAGTGGAAGCCCACGCAGGCTGCCACAGATAGGGGCTCCGTTTTGGGGCACTTCATGGGATCTTGCTGCTTGGAGCTGTGCAGGTGGCAGCATTGTGGTTTCCCTGTGTCCCTCTTGCATGCACATACAACCTGCCCTGACGCACTGCTTGCACCAGCATGTCACTTCTTTTCCAAGTTGCCTTGCCCAGAGCTAGGCAAGATGAATGTCGATCAGATGTGTGCACATCAAACATGGCAAGAGCCCTAAATCTTAACCAGCACCTGCAAGACCTCTGGTTTGTTCTCTCCAACTCTGGACATAGGCTGGTCTCAGCCTCTCTCTGGCTCTGACAGGGATGGATGGAGATTCTGCATCTGTCAGTTTGGTTGTGCCCTGTGAACCTGCCCAATGTCAGAGGGCAGGAATGGCTATTTGGTGTCAGCTACACACAGCTGACAGGCTGTTGGTGACAGGAATGCATCCTGCCTGACCACTGTGAGTTGGGCTGTTGCGTTCCTGGACTTCATACCATCTCATGAAACTACCTGGAGCTTGGAGAAGACATACAAATCCTTTCTTTGCCAATTAGCATGTATTAACCCTTGCATATTGTTTCCAAGACTCCAGCAAAGAGACCTGTCAAAAGCTTTGGGTGCAGGCTCTGGCCTCCTGAAATTCAAAGACACTGGCCTTAAAAAGGCCAGTGCAGGGGGCAGAGGAGCCAGCTTTTTCCTTAGGCACAGCTGACCACCTCTGGAACAAATAGCACGTGCTGTGGCCAGGGAGAGGACATTTGATTCAGTGCACCAAAGCAATATTCCAGCGTGGCAGTGGTTGCACTGCTAAATTATGGTGCTGGTTCTGGGATGAGAACATTGCTCCTTGCCTTGTTTGTATGGGCTGTAATTCACAGATCCAACACAAATCCAGCACAGCTCATTAACGCAGTGTCCAGGGAGAGAAGAGGCAGAAATAATGATGCCGTTAAATCAGGCTTCATGAATATGGAACAATGTCTTATTTTGCATTATTACGGCTGTTACTTAAAACATACTCCCTGCCTTTGTGCTGGGGATTGCTACTTTCTCAGTTCTGTCTGGATGGAGCCAGTGATGGTGCTGAGAAGGGCTTTAAAAGGCTTTTCATGGGAAGTTTTTTGGCTCAGTTCCTGGAGGGAGGTGTAGAGAGAAGGATGCAGAAATAAAATAAACCAAAACCAGTTACTAGGGTATTCAAAGGAGAGGTTGTCTAGACATTCTCTAGACTAGTCTCAGTTCAGTTGTGCATGCAAGACAATCTCTGTGACCTGGTCTGTAGTCCCCAGTCTACAGAAAAGTGTATTTGACACTTATGGAGGTGAAGAAGGTTAAGAGTGGATGCAGAGCTGCAGTTCATGCTCTGTTATGGTACAGACAGGTCCTGTTCTTGTGTCTGCTCAGAGCTGCAAGGGCCAGGTCCTGGCAACGGCTTTGCCTCTCAAAGATGTCTATTTGGGTGTAAGAGATGAAGAGGCATATCATGGGATGGCTGAGGTCCTTTTTTAATGGTAGACCTTCCCTAAAACTCCTTCTTGGGACAGCAACACTTCATGGGAGGAGTGGCTTAATCCCAACTGTCCTTGAACAAAAACGTCTGTTGGGTTTAAGCAGGGTGATCTGAGACAGACCTTCCTCTTTCAGCTCTATAGGGCTGAGCTCTGGTGGTCAGCCAGAAGGAGCAGGCTGTGACTGAGCATGCACTTGGTGCTCTGCCTGACCTTCCCTTGGGATTGTGAGAACTGTCCAGCAAACACTGACATCCCAGTGAGCTTCCCAGCGTGCTTTGGATTGGGTCTTGAGAGGCGAAGCTCAGTCTGTGGCTGCAGCTTCCCATGTCTTGTGACAATGAATCTCTTGTTCTCCTGTCCCCCTTTTTTGTTCCTTTTTTTTTCTCTTTCTCAAGGCTCAGTCCATTGTGCTGGTTCTGTTCAAGGCACAAGCAGACTGTAATTCATACAATAGTGTTGCAGCAATGGAGAGACAGGTACTCTAGTAGGAGCTACCAGTCGAGCCTTTTTGCTAGTGCTGCTTCAGGGGAGTTAAATACAGTGAGAGCAGAAGTCACGGTGGCATCTGCAGAGGAGTGGGCTGGGTGCAGTGAAGGTAAGTAATGCAGAGCCACAGTGGCTTTCCATTGCCCTTCTGACTTGCTGCAGTTGTTCCATCAGGAGTCAGAAAGCCTCTAGCCTTGGGTTTTCCACTGCCAAATTTTGTCTGATTGACACTCCTATCTATGCAAAGGGGCTCATCAGGCTTTTTTTCTGAACTGAGACCTAAGCTATAGTCCTAAACCATAAGCAGCTAGCTTATGCCCCAGTTCTAAGCACTAGTGGTAGAGTGGTTTAGGTATCACCTCCATTCTGGGGCAGTGTCAGGTCCTGTCTACACTGTTTCCTAACCATAACAGGGCGCTCTGACTCAAAGGCATGGTAATGATCATGCTCTAGGATTACAAACACCTTCTATTTGCAATGAATGCATGGATCCTTCCAGCTCTCCCTACTCAAACCAGCCATTTTCACAAATAAATCCTAGAAAGTATGAAGCTGCACACAGAAATTGGATGGGTCTTTTTTAAGCTCAGAAGTGTGCCTCTTTGTACTTCTCCAGCTCCACCTGCTCTGAAGCTGTCTGTCAATGAGACACTCGTGGTCAACCCTGGTGACAACATCACTATGCAGTGCTCTCTGATGGGTGGTGACCCACAGCCAGAGGTGGTTTGGTCTCACTCTCCTGGTCCAGTGCCTCTGAATAGCCTTGTGCAAGGAGGCAATCTCACCATCTGGAGGATCCGTGTGGAGGACTCGGGCTACTACAATTGCACAGCCATCAACAACGTGGGGAACCCAGCAAAGAAGACAGTGAATCTGCTGGTGCGGTGTAAGTGGCTCTTTGTCTCAGAGCATGGGTTTTTCAGGGTAGAGAGTCTAGATTTGTATTTTTCCTGGCTGTTCTTGTACAGCTGAGGGTGAATGTGGAACTTAGCGGCAGTTAGTATTCTGGAGGAGTGCTTGAGCAAGATTCTCTGCTCCCAGACCAAAAGCTGTGCTAGCACTGCTTGCAGCCTCATCCCAGGCTGTAGCACAATCCTGGACTGGAGAATGGTCCTAGACTGCCAGATGGAAGGCCTGGGGGATATTCTGTAGGAATATAACTGGGAAAGGTCTTCAGACAGATTTTGCATGGAGGTGTTGCCTTCCTGAGGAGCAAAAGCTGTTGTCCTGTCCCATGCAAGACTTTTTGCTGTCCTTAACCATTTTTGCACTTCTATTCATTACAGCCATGAAGAATGCCACATTTCAAATCACCCCTGATGTGATCAAAGAGAGTGAGACCATCCAGTTAGGGCAGGACTTGAAGCTCTCATGCCATGTAGATGCTGTCCCCCAGGAGAAAGTTGTCTATTCTTGGTACAAGAACGGGAAACCAGCTAGGTTCTCGGACCGGTTGCTCATCACCCGGAACGACCCCGAGCTCCCACCTGTGACCTGCAGCTTGGAGATTATTGACCTGAGATTCAGTGACTACGGCACCTACATGTGCGTGGCTACCTTCCAGGGAGCACCCATTCCTGACCTCAGTGTGGAGGTGAACATCTCCTCAGAGACAGGTGAGCCTCTGTGCCAGCAGGGGACCTCAGAGGAGTGTCCGGCATTATGAACTGCCACCACCCCAATGCCTCTGGCTTTCTTGAAGACCGTGTCTTGAATCTCAGTCTCTCATCCTCAGGCAAGCATTTAGCTGAGCCTGGCGATGCGTTGCACACCAAGCAGATATTTCTTTCATGTTTTCTCCCTATGAAAAGTTCAGTCAAAGCTGCAAGACAGGTTTACAATGTGGTTGTTCAAAGAAGCCTCCAAATTGTGATGGAAGAAAACGCGGGTGGCATTTCACCAAATTTCAAATGTCCCTTTGCTTAGAAGGGAGTAAAGAGAAAGAAAGCTGCTCTTTCCTCTCTTTGGCATTGCTTATGAGGAATGTCCCTTTTTTCAGAGCTGTGGACAGGAGATTGGTATCATTTGTCATAACAAATTCTCTGAAGAGCTTTATTGTTTACTGGATTGCAATTACAATCTGTCTTGGGGCACTCCCTGTAGGAGTCCAAGTGTTACAAATGCTCTTCCCCTCCCCGTTTAAAATCAGGGTCAAAACTTCACCCCATGGCTTGGTGAGGACAGGACTAATCTTTAAGTGTGCTGGTCAGTCTTCTCAGGGATTGACATATAGAATCTCAGAGCTGCCTTTTTGTTTCTGGGGAAGTGGTGAATCCAGCTCTGCTCTCCGTTACATCCACATCATCTTGCTGCCTTCCCAAGACCTAGAGGGTACAGCACAAAGCAGTATTGGGCTGGTAATCTGGTGGGGACTCCTGAGGGGAGTCAGCTGCCCGCAGATTTTGTCCTGAAATTTCAGTGACAGTTTCTTGTCCATCCCTGGTCGTGCTGGATCCTTGGACTTGCTGGTCTCAGTCTTGGATTTGGACATTGCTTACTTCAACCCCCTCACCCCTGCAGAAAGTGCTGCAACTGCTTTTGATGCTTTGGGAAGCCCCTGTCTCACAGAAATGCTGGGGCCAGCCTGCTCCCAACAGGACTGCACATAGTGTTCATTAACATGTGAGAGAGCAAGCCCTGACTATGTCACAGACCCACTAAATGTCAAAGGGTGCTGCTTCCCTTCATGAAAGGTAAAGCCCTCTCCATGCCATCAGACACCAACCCAGCTGTACCAGTAGGGAACAAAAACAGGAGAACCCCCAGTTCCTGGAACCACCCTCCCCCATCCTGGTCAAAGCTGGCACTCCCAGCCTTGTGAGCAGTCTTTTTTTGCCCAAGGTCACTAGGTGGCAGAGTGCAGTTGTGTTTAAGCCTGCAAGGGCAGGAGGCTGCAGAGGGCTGGCAGACCCTGGGTGATCCCACCAAAAGGCTGGACAGTGTCTGCTGGTGCAGGTGTTGGTCCAAGCACCAGCTGGTTGGTGCCTTAAAGGCAGTGGCAGGTTGCCTGTCTGTTGTAGGCTGGGCACCACATGCTCGTACGGATGCTGCTGATCGGGGAGGGCAGGCTGAGGGATGTGAAAGCCTCTCTTTGGCAGCCTGGTCCAGTAGAACCACTTTGTGACCCAGGGAGTGAAAACCGCCATCCCTGCCAGAGCAGCCTTCTGTGCATCAGCCGAAAGTTCCCCACAATCAGCCACCTCCAACATGTGGTTCCTACAGAAAAACCCAGTGAATTTTCCCCCAGCCACAGGGTCGGAGCAGGAGGGTGGCAGCAGTGGCTCCATGTTTCCCCACTGGACAAAGCCTGAGATCACCAAGGTGGCTGCCTCCACTGAGTGGCTCCAAGGAGATCGCTTTAATTAAAAAACATCTTCAAATGCAATTTACAGCTTTTCCCTGTGAAGAAAATTGCCTCTCACCAGGTGAGCAGCTGCTGGCAATGCCAGGCACTGAGAGTGCTCTCGTCCCTTCATGTTGTGCGGGATAGGGTGTGATGAGGTTCCCCAGCCCACAGGAGACCTGTGAATTGAAAATGTGGCCTCCCTCTTGCATAGGGAGACTGGGCTGGAGCCATCCTAAATCTGCTTATAAAGCAGCTGTGGGATGTAATGTGCACAGTTACTGTAGCACACTCTCCTTTGCTGAAATGCAATTGAGCTAACATTGGTCAGATCGGCTTGTTACAGCCTCTGTAGTTCTACATTTTGATTTAAATGGAAACAAAATACATGGCATTTGCAGTTACAGAAGTGTCAATCCAAGTGTTGCTGCAGTCAGCAGAAAGGGCTCAAAAAGGAGCTTTCAGAAATTGATGATGGCCATATTTACCCCAGCTGAACTGTTAACTCTGAAGCCTAATACAAATAAAATGGCAATATTACGTAGGTTTTAGTACAAACATTCCCTTCCTGGGTTCTTGCTGGTGTGAGCATGTGAACAGCAAACCTCTCCACACCAGCACCTTTTAGCTGGAGTTTTTGGGTTTCTTTCAAGCTTTGTTTATCAGCAGCAAAGCTTTGTTGTCAGTTGATAGCTGGATGTTTCCTGAGTGTTACTGTGCCTCCAGCTCTAGCCCTGGCTCAATAGCAGTTCGGCTGGGTGAGCTCTTTCCAGTCTGGGAGAGATTCCAGAAGTGATCTTTGCTGGGACTCACTCTCACACACTTGAGCCAGAGATAACCAGGGTGCTCAGAATCTCAGTGTAAAGTAAGCAGAGACACTTAACCGAGCTGGCTCCTTGCTGTAGTTCAGGAGCAAACAGGGATCCTCAATTTCTGGTAAGGCTGGAGATGTGATCAACAAGCACTAATCCTGTAAGTTTTGGGTTTGGTCTGACCTGGGTAAGGAAACTAGATGCCTTGGCAGATACGACTTTAATTTCTTGGTCAAAAGACTGCAGTTCCACTTGAGACATTCACTAACAACCAACAGTTGAGAAATGGATCAAAGAGGCTTTTGCCTTTGGGTTTCTCAGAGCTAGCCGTGCTCCTGGACAGCATTTTGCAAACAGAGGGATAGCGGCTGGGGGAATGGCCCAATACATCTGGCACTTGCCATTGGTATTGGGATACATTTTTGGAGAAGCTGGGATTTTCCTTGGTACCCAGCAGCTCCAGACCCCGTAGGATGACTTAAATGGACAGAGGTCGCACTGTGTCAAGTGGAAACCTTTGGAGTTAGAGCTTTTGGTGTGACTCAAACACAAGCATCTCAAGAATGTTCCTTGCTCCCTGGAAACTCGGTGTAAAATCATACCCTTCTTGTCTCCCTTTTAGTGCCACCAACCATCAGTGTCCCTAAGGGTCAGTCCACCATCACCGTCCGGGAGGGCTCCAGGGCTGAGCTGCAGTGTGAGGTTCGCGGGAAGCCCAAGCCACCCATCATCTGGTCCCGGATAGATAAGGAAACTCCCATGCCTTCAGGGACAATGACGGTGGAGACATACGATGGGAAGCTACGTCTGGAGAGTGTGAGCCGAGAAATGAGTGGGACCTATAAGTGTCAGACAGCCAGGTACAATGGCTTTAACATCAGACCCCGTGAAGCCATGGTGCAGCTCAACGTGCAGTGTGAGTATTACCATACGGTAGTGCCTATCTGAATGCCTGTGTATATTAAAGCCTGTGGGCTAAACAGGGCTGACACAGTGCTGCTTTTAGGCATAGTTGACCTTTCTTACTGGGCTGAGCAGACACATTTCTCTTGTCTAGGGACCTTCAAAGAGTTTGTTTAATTGGTCTGGCTACACAGGGTTCTCCACAGGATACTGTATGGCCAGTGTGTTGGAAGTGGAAGGGAGAAGTGTTGTGTATGTTGGTATGCAGTGCTTTCCATTTCCCTACCAGTGGATGAGTGCGGAACAGCAGCTTTACCAGGTGTATGTTTGTGTGCATTGTGTATGAGTAAAATACCTTCAGGGTACAGAGGTAAGTTTGTAAGGTCAAGCATTCAAAAGGTACCAAGTGAACGTTAATTAAGCCATTTCCACCCTGCAATCCTTTCTTCAGTTTAGTTACAGCAGCTGTCACTTCTGGACATTCCTGGAAAGCAGAGCTAGGCAGATTCTAACAGAAAGTGCATACTCCAAAAGGCTTCCATGCAGTAAAGCTGTAACAGAAAACTGATTTTTGGCACGTGGTGTATTGAGTGATTTCAGCAATGAGTGGTGCTGCCATCCCTGCTTGAAGGCAATACCTGTGCACAAAGGTGCACATGGAGGTATGGATGCTGCTGATGTCCCTGCTGGGTGACTCTTTCCATCCTTTCCTTGCAGTGGTTTCTCCTTTAGAGAAGTGAGTGCCTGCTAAGCTGCCATGCTGTTAATTTGTTTTGACATGCAGGGGTCTGTGCTCTGTCCTTCAAGATTTTGAGTCAGACAGGGGGAAGGCAGCTGGGTAAAATGCCTTGGTCTGAAAGGAGCTGTGAGTGTAGGAATATCCCTCCCTCCATACCTCCCTGCATCCCACCAGGATAATCTGATTGCTGAGATCTGGCAGAGTCCTCTGAGCAGCGTGGATTTAGCAGGTGTGGAATGTATAGGAAGCAGGTTAATTTGCACCCAGGCACACTGCCTCTGGGCCGTGAGTGCTGAGCCTCCATGCACAACACAGCAGTGCTCATTAGACGTGCTGCCACACTCCTCCCAGGCTCGCTCTTCGGGAAGAAGAGACGTGAGAGCAGAGTGGATAACCTGGCTGAAGCCAACCAGACACACTGCTCAGAGATGTGAGCTGCTGAGAGCACAGCAGTAACGGAGGCATGAAAAATCCTGCAGGCACTTTGAGTATTCAGAGATGCCCTTTTAAAATTATCCGTGTCCATTCAGAGGCATGGCAGGAATTAAATTACAGGATGAGAACTGAAATGTGTGCAGGTTTCCATGCAGGTATGTATGTGTGGAGAAGATTCCCTTAAATAGGTTGGAAATATGCATCTTGGTTTAAACTGTTTTGGAAAGCAGGCTGGGCAAGGCGTATGGCCGTGGCAGGGAGAGTGACTCTTGGTCACCCAAGAACTGATGGGAGATGCAACAAAAATCTCTGGAGCAAAGAACTGTCAGACCTGCTGGTGTTCCCAGTTTGGCGCTGGTGTTTGAAAGGTGTGCAGTCCTCGCTGCCCCGCGTTGCCCCTGCAGAGGGAGCAGCAGTGCCAAGCCTGGGATGAATGCAGGGTTGCACCCAATCTGGAGGCAGATCACATCACTGAATCTTGAGCTGAGGGGAAGGACATGACTCCCCTCATGTGAAAGATGGTAGCTACAAGCCAGAAGCTGTTCAGGAGCCTTTGGTGTGACCCCAAAGAAGGCAAAGATGTGATGAACTTCTATGTGAAGAGCAACTCAACATAATCTTTCTGTAGCTCTTCTCAAGGCCAAGCAATGCTTTATTGTGATCTTGCCAGAGTAACAGTGGCATAGTCCATGTGGCAGCCCACCCAAATGACCCTCTTCCCTTCTCCATCAGTTCTGTGTAGCCTTAGTTGGAGCTGGTTGTGTACTGAGTGTTTGTACACCTGAGCTGTCTCCTCCTGCCTGTAAACTGAGGAAGGACCTTACAGTGGCACTGCCTGTTCTGCTCCTGAGTAGACAGCTTTGGTTTCCAGGTTGTCAATTTGCTCCTTCCATCAGCATGAAAAACAAACTCCAGACCAAGAAAGTAGGGCAAGAATTGCCCTAATCTCCTTTATAGGCTCTCACCTTTCCTCCCATGCAAAACAAAACCTCAGCAAACAGCACAGTCCCAGCACTTTATCCCTCTCCTCCTTGTTCATGCAGCTAGAAGGAGGTAGGTACCATGGCAGGAGCCACTGTGGTTAATTGAAATGCTGCTCTCCAGCACGGGTAGCTCATTAGTCTGGTGGCTTGCTCTGGAATTCTCATCTTGTTGGAAATGGGGATCGTGTGGCTCCTGCAGCCCCTGTGATGAGCACTTCCCCCTCCTCCCCTAGCCCATGCATCCCCCCAGAGAACCACTTTGGTGGGGTGTGCATCCACACAGGCATGAGCATGTGTGTGAGTGCACGCAGGTGTGCCTGTGCTGGTGTGAGCTCCTTTTGAACTGGCTCACTCAAGGGAAGAGCAAATTCTGGGTGATAATGTGGTTGTTTCTCTGATTTGCTCTAAAGCTGAAGTTGCAAAATCAATACAACAAATCTGATTAGATGTCAGAACCTGTTTCTGTTTCTCTTTTCTTTTTCTCCCCTCACCCTGATGCATATAGTGCTGTATTGTAACAAACTAGCCCAGAAATAGGCTTTTTCAACTGCACTGCAGTAGTGGAAAGAATAAAAAGGCAAAAAGACCAAGTCAGCTGTCAGGAAAAAAAAAAAAAGTGTTTGGGTTTTTTAATTATTTTTTTATTTTGCAAGCAGAAAAAGCTGCTCTCCTTTTGTCTTGTGAGCTGCAATTGTCTGTCATTAGCTCTGAGAGGCTGGACGTCTTGGTATCAACTGTAGTTTTGGAAGATTAATAAGTTCATGAAAGTCCTTGCAGCCTTATAGCTCTGTGGTTAAGGATGAAGAAATGTTGTATCCTGGTCAGAGACTGGGCTTGTCATAACTCCTGGGAATCTGGCTACCACTTGGAGTGGCAGTGTCTTGTCATGTTTTTTTCCATATCTTCAAAAGAGGAATAAAACTGACCCATCTCCTCAAGGATTTGTGGGGCACTTTGAAATCTTGAAATAGAAAGTGCTGCTGTTAATAATATCAGTGCTATTGCTGGTGCTGTTGTCAAGGATTTTTTCAGGACCAGGTACTCGCTCAGAAAAATCCCAGTGGAAAAATGAATCCTCTGCAGAGGTGGGTTTAAAATAAGGGCTGGGTCACCCTGTGTACGTAAGATAGAATAAGGCTGTAAAACACACAGTGGGCTTGAAAATGTGCAGCACTCTGGATTTTGGAATACAATGTGTCATCTGAGCCAATATATATGAAAGGAGGAAACAAAGCGTGTATGTGTGAATCAGTGAAAACAATGCTACCTACATATAAGTTTAGGAAATGCATAATAACAAATTGGAAAAAAACCTACTCTATTTCTCCATTACTCCTAAAAGCCTGATCAAAATAGCATTTCCATGAATTTCAAAGATTAATAGTGACCCCAAATCTAGCTGTTGCTACAACTGGCCTTTGAGATGACTGTCATATCATGGTGAATTTTACCCTGTTGAAGCCACATATAACAGTATGGTGTAAAATTGCAATCCTAGTACATTATCCTGCTGGAATGATTTTGTGCTAGCTCTAACGCTTTGTCAATTCTGAATAGCATGTCGTAACCTACTGCACAGCTCAGTGAAGGTCCAGCTCAGCCCTGCACTGATTATAGCTGATCCTTGATATACCTACCCCAGTATTTTCCCACAGATAGATAGGTTTGTTCTTCCTCACAGTGCTCACTACTTGCTGTCTCAAACACTTTCTCAATCACCTGAATGGGTTCTCCCTCTTTGGATAGCTACCAAAGCCTGGTAGCAGAGTACCCATCACCTCTGTTAAGAGATGTTAACTAGTTGACCAAATTCTGATGATTGGATAAGCAGCCTTTTGCTGGTGCCCTTTTTGTCTTTGTCAGGAATGTTGGTGTCTCTAAGTGCCCAGAGAAAGAAGGAAAAAAGGAAGAGGAGATATTTACATAGGGTTGACCTTCTTTTGGATAGTCAGGTCTGAAAGATGATCCTGTTTCTCATCTTTGGGTCACACAGCCGGTGAGATCTTGGCAGAAGGAAAGACTAGAAAAGGAATTAACCTGGGTGTCTCCTCCATGGCCTGTGAATTTGTTCCCTTCTGGATCCAAAGTAATAGTCCACTATCATCTGAGATTGGTCTCTGAAGGATTATGTTTATTGCCCTTAGTTAGATTTTTGCCACATTAAGCAACAGATGGATTATTGTGCTTTATCTTCAAAGCATAGTGAATATTAGGTGTAATCAGGAAAACAGACTGTCATTCTCTTTGCAGTGGCAGTTATCATGGTTAACGGGACTTCAGGAGCCATTGCATAGTCCTAGATACAGGACTGGTAACCAGCAGATCTGGCTCAGCCCTGACCTGGGAGGCAGCCAGAATATGTCCTGCTGGGGCATCTGTTGCCCTTGTCACTTAAACTAATGTTCAGGTGGGCACAGATATGTTTTCCCATTCAAGCTCACACACTGGCAAATGTTATTCCTGGTCACATGCTGTTGACTCATTTCTCTTTAAAATCCTGCTGAACCCACTGGCAATGCTGTACATCAGGAAGGAAATAGTCAGCATCAATTTCCCCTGTTATCTATGTAGTAAACAGAACAGCACAGAGGAGAGGAGGGGGAGATACTGTAAATAAGTAAGAAGCATTGCTGGATCCAAGGAACTGGAAATGGAAATGCATTAAACTGTTTCAATCAACTGTTGAAGCCATAATTCAGTGCCAGTGCTCTTGCTGGTGCCTTCCCCCTCTGAAACATAAGCCTTGATATTAACTGCTCCATTAAAAGTGCTCTTGAGACATGCTTTTGGCATGGAGATGTTTCTGCAAAATGGCTAGGACTGGGCTTTTGGCTCCTGAGAGCTCCCTGCAGCTCT